TGTTGTAGAAGGATGGAGAAGATCAGTTGGACCGATTATGTGAGAAATGAAGAAGTGTTAATTAGAGTCAGTGAGCAGAAGAATATCCTACACGAAATAAGAAAACGGAAGGCTAATTGGATTGATCATGTTTTATACAGAAACTGCCTTCTAAAAGAAGTTATTGAAAGAAAGATAGAGGGGCAGATAGAAGTGACAAGAAGACATAAGAAGATGCTGGATGACCTTGGGGACAGAAGAGGATACTGTCATTTGAAGGAGAAAGCTCTAGATCGCATTAAATGGAGGAATTGTTTTGGAAGAGACTGTGGACCTGTCGTCTGACAGATTAGTGATGATGATGATATTATTATTTATGTTAATCAATTAATGTAAGTGATTTTGATTATGTGTCTTGTGTAATTTTGTGTATGTGTCTTGATATATCTATTTTCAAAGGGACCATTTCCACATCCCAGTTTTGTTACCTGTATGGATATATGGAAAATAAAGGAAATGAATGAATGAATGAATGAATGAATGAATGAATGAGTGTTTTTACTTGTTCCTAGTTTCACAAGATTAAATATTGAATAAAATGTAAAATGGGATCATTTATTTTTGCTTTTCTTCCTTGTCAGGATCTAGAGGACCGAGCAAGGATGATGAAGCAAAGAATGAAGGTGATGCAAGGGATGCGAGGCTCTGGGATGGGGAGTGAGTATGAAACCAGTGAAACTGATTTAGTTGATGCATGAGCACTTGGCGTAGAAATGCTGCTTTGTTTCAGTTTGGTTGTTTAGTTCAGTGTTTCTCAGCCACTGGGTTGTGCCCACACTGGTGACAGTATTATGAGTCTCCTTTGTTTTGTGTGTAGTATGACCTTTTCACTTCCACCTGATTTTGTTAAGGAAATGTATTTTGTTTACTGATTTATTTCTCTTTGTACATATCATGAATACATCATAAATATATGTATACATTTATAACATTTGTACATCAGGATGTTCAAAGGGTACATAATTGGGAATTAATTAGTATGAATAGCATGAATTAAGTTAACCACATAGAGCAGAGTCTTTTTCAAGAAGCAAACAACTACTCAGCTAGTCAAAAATTTTCCTGTCTTCTAACAGAACCCAAAAGTTCTTTATAATTTGGATCTCTGGTTCTTGCTGTAGTGACTGCGAAGAGTTCTGTTTTCTAGGATGTAACATTACATGGTCCAGTAGAAGTTCACTGATGTTTTGGAGGAACATACTACCTCCTTCTTCAGAGTCAAAGAGTAAGCCATGCAAACAACCACCAAGAAGCAGATTGGCCAGTAGTTGCTACTGGATTCTTGCTGACCACTAGCTTTGCGCATGCTTCAACTCTGAAGATGGAAACAATATGTTATTTCTAAATGTTAGTACAATTATACTGGAATACATGATATTACATCCAAGAAGGAAGTATTTATTAGTAATTATCACCTTCATTAGAACTTATCCTGAGCCATATAAATTCCATCAAAGCTTAGTAGCCAGATGTTGAGAGGATGGATGCCACATGAGGAGGTACACCCTGCTTTCTTTAAGCTGATGACAGAGATTGATTTGTCATCGTGTATCCTATTTCCCCAGAAAAATGACTGTTTAAACAAAACACTTTTGTGATACTACTAAACTTTTAAAACCATAGTTCTTTATAAGCTCTGTATTGTAGAAACATGGTACTGTAAGAACTGCTGGTATATGGAGCTGTTACTCTCCCACCACCTCTAACCACTTATGCTCATGAGGTCAGTTCTCTGTTAATTTGTTACTTCAGAGCAACACCATTAGTCACAATAGTGCACTCACTCATTTTGTTTGACTGTACCTTGCTGCACTGCACTGAATTGACAAACCAATCCACTCACTGACTGAATGACTAAGTGACTAACTTTACTGATTCACTAACTTACTGCCTACTGCTTTTATAAGTACATCACCCACAGGGAAAGTTCTGGAATATTCAAAGAAGAACTTGGTCATTCTTGTCAGCCAATGAGTTTCTGGAATATTCTAGGTGGGGGGTCACTATTTAGATAGGACAAGAGGTGCTCACAGTCCAGGTGACACATTCCCATCATGCTCCATTCCTGTGATTCTCCTTTCCCAGGGTTGCTCTTGAGTAGCCTCATGACACAGTGCCAGTCTGTCCAAGTATACCAGCATCATCTTTGCCTCAGGACATCACTGGATTCCGTAGACTATATTCTTGCTCCAGATGTTCAGCATGCAATGGCCTTTACAGGTTGGCTGCAGCTTAGGAACTTCTCTGTGGTCTTGGTCATGCTACACAACCAAACTTGGTCTCCTTCCTGGAATTCTGCTAGATGGTTATAGTGGGTTTGCATTTTGTTGCTGTCCAACTTTATATGTTCACAGGCATAATGACAAAGTCATGCAGCTCTTCTGTGAGAGCTGTTGTGTAATTGTTCATGTGCTGTGCTCCTTGTTCAGGGAGAGCACCCAACAAAAGGTTGCAGGACAGATGTACCTCCACTTCTGAGTCAGCTGAAACCCTGAGTCAGATCCACCATCGCCTCCTACGATATAAGAAGGGTATCCTCAGATGCTATATACAGAATGTACAGCTAACTGGGCTGCTTCTTTGGCAGTTCTCTGATGATTATTACTGACACCCGGTGTCATTGGTCACAAGACATTTCTTTTCCTGCATAGCATTCTTGCTGAATAGGTTGTTGTCTCTTGCAACATGTCACCGCTAGCTCATTACTGAATTCCTCACAAAGATTCTGGATCTGCCTTGGTACCCTTCAGTGGTTTGATTAGCATGTCTATTATTCTTCCTTTGAATTTTCCTTGTCCAGCCCAGAAAGCCCTTATTTCACTTCTGAGTTGTTCATGCTCTTCATAGTTTTCATGTCTTGCTGAAAGCTTGTCTTGACCATCATTCAACTTCTTTCACTGTTCAAATGGCTTGTAATGCCAGCATGCCACTAATTCAACTTCTGACACTAATTGTAACAACTATTGGTATATGAAGCAATTATTCTCCTACCACCTGTAACCACTTATGCTCTTGAAACCTGTTCTCTGGTCGTTCATTACTTCACAGCAAAACCATTGATCATAATACTATACTCACTCATTTCAGCTTGAAACATACATCAGTGATGAAATGTGACCATTATCATAATGTTTTAAATCAAGCATGTATTGCAAAACATGCTCTAAAATCTTTTATTATAGTAACCAACCATTGTCATAAATGTTTAGTTGTAACCACAGTTTTTATTCAAGCATGTACAGCACAGCATAGTATGAAGTCTTCATGTTTTCATGGTAGTTAATGACTAATCTTGTTTACAGTCTTGTGTGACAAAACTGTGCTGTGTTTGTTGTTTACTAATGTTTTGGAGAACCTAGATGTCTCCATAGTCAATGCAAAGTGATTAAACAGGCCAGATATTTCTAATCTGGGGAAAGAGTCAGTGGGGAATTTATTTGCTCTGATTAGTGGATGTAGGTTAATAGAGAAGCCAATTGTAATTTAGGTGTCCCAAGTTTTGATATGCTTCCATATTGGCCACACATCCAACCAGAGCTTGGAATTCCCAGTTACCTCATGAACTGGAACTGTACGTATACACCTATATTGGCACCAGATCATGTTTATTCACATTGCTTTGAACATGGATGGAACCACATTCATCAAATTATCAGCAACTTATCTCACCACAGCACGGTATTAGCACTTAAGAATGGCAACAAGATTTTAATATCAGATTCATGAGTTTAGGGGTTAGTATTTCCTCTTCCCATTCTTCTGCCTGGCCCTTGATGATTTACTCTTGGTGCTGTAGATGTATGTCCATTAATACTGCTGCTGGCCTTTGGTCATCAGCATCAACAAAGCCGAGAATTATCACACTAGAAGGACAAAGAAATGTCTTCTTGTGCTTGTTTTATATACACTCAACTCTCGATTATCTGGGGGCGGATAAACCGGTTTTCCGCTTAACCGGTGCTACCAGGGCTTTTTTGAGGCTTATATGTTGTTTAATATTCATTCACTTTTGTTTCACATTGTGAGTTGTAACACTATTTTCGCACTAGTGTGAACCGAGCTCTGAATTTTTTTGTCCTGTTATGCTAACACAATGTTCTAGGGTAGGGGTGAAGAATGCAAGGATTTGTGGAAAGTTTCAAGGACAGATGCACTGTCCCAGTTAGTCTCTTTGTATCGATCTTCAAGTGCGTTAGCAAAATGTCAGGGTGTAATTGGAAGCGTGTTGTGTTAGGTATTCAACAGAAACTCGTGTGAGCTGGGCTTCAAAATGTTAAGCAGTGATGAAATTATAAGTTTAGTGGGGGTGCAGCCAGAAGAGCGGGAAGAAAGTGAGAATGAGGAACAGGTGGACAGTGCTGCTAGTAAGAAAATATCACATGGTGCTGCTCTTAATCATTTGGAATCCTTACTAGACTATCTTGAGAGTGAAGAGAACAATTTATTAAGTGACAAGCTAATATTATCTAGGCTTTGTACAGATATCCATAAAAAGCAAATGACAATATTACATTTTTTTAAGTGTTAAGTGTGAATATTCGTAAGAAGTATTGGATGTTGTTGAACACTGTGATTGAAATAACTAATTCATACATCAGTGTAATGTAAAAAAAGTATTAAATAGGCCATGAGATGACATAAAAATGAGGTTGAATAAATTTAAATACAGGTAGGCTTATAGTATTATGAAGGTACAGTATTACAGTACTACTTTTAATAAAATTTATCTTAACCGGGTTTTCACTTAATCTTTATTTCCATCCCCACCATTATCCCAGATAATCGAGAGTTGAGTGTATATATACAGGGTGTTTCACGACTTTAGGGCATAACTGCAGGAGGTGATTTCCTAAGTCATTTTGATCAAAAAAGTTCATATAAACATGTGTCCGATTTTGTACGGTTATGGAGATATGATCGTTTTAAACTCAGAATAGAAGGTAATGATTACTGACAATAAACGGAACAAAATAATAAACCAGCATAATACATGATACATTTTAAGTATGAATGTAAAGTTAACTTCGTGAAATTGCCTTTAATTTGAATTGATTGGTGCTTAAAGCTGATTTTCAAAAATTCCACTGCCGGCCGCAACACAGGCTGCCGCTCGGTTGTGAACCGCGCCAGACATACCACCCCACCACGCCTTAGGTACCTCTCAAGTGTCAATATAACGAGATCACTCTGTCTGTAGCTGGCTAAAAATAGCGACCTGCCAGATGATAGACCCGGTTAACATGAGGGCGTGTACAGGAATGAGAAAACGGTCATAACTCTATAACTGTCCAAATTTGGACACATGTTTATATGAACTTTTTTGATCGCAAAGACCTAGGAAATCACCTCCTGCAGTTATGCCCTAAAGTCGTGAAACACCCCGTGTATATATATAGAGAGAGAGAGAGAGAGAGAGAGCCTCAGCATTCATTTCTGTGTTAGAACAATACAACAAAATTCTGTAAGATTCTTACGAAAATATGTGATCTGAAGCTGAATTTTACCAGGAGGTATAAAATAAGAAGTTCTGAATGGAATTGAAAAATCTAAGTAACATTACTTCAACTGTTTAAATATGGCTTCCAGTATTGTAAAAAAATTGGATAGTAGAGCAACTCAGTGTTCTTCATTTCATTTTAATGTTGACAGTGTGGAAA